TGCAAAGTACTCACCTCGTGCATTTTGATTTTAATTTTATTTGATGAGACGTTGTACTACTAGAAACTCAAACTCTTTTTTATTTAGAGTGAGATAGATAGATAGATAGATAGATAGATAGATAGATAGATAGATAGATAGCGGTTGATTTTGAGGGATGAAATGGGGTGAGCAGGAAGAATGCAGTGGATGTAGTCGGTCCTCATCCCATTCAGGATCGGAGAGTGAATTTATTTTTCCCGCTCCGTCTGTACGCGGTGCCCCGCCATTCCGCAGCCGCATTGAGCTGCTTTCATTACAGCAACTCAAAAGGGGGAAAAAATAATCTGGGGCGTTGGGTTCTCGGTAGCAACATGGCCCAATGTTTTATGGGGGGCGATGACGTATTGCAGCATTGGCGCACTGCGAAAGGCATCACGAACGGGCCTTGGAATCGAAGGATGAGTAGCGGCGCTGGAGCATACAAAGGAGCAGAAAAATTCAATAGCTCTTCAAATTTGGCGCTTGCGCACCAATAATCCGACATGACTTGGTGGAATCGCAGAATTATTCACATTTCATAATGGACCAATAACGTAGCAGGATTTTTTCAAAGAACCTATAGTAGAGGCTCGGAAGGGTGCCGGAGTTTGCTGGAGGCTGCGCACACAGCTGCGCAGTGCGAAGCCGGTTCGTACACCCGCAAGCCACAAGGGCGAGCGGTTTCACATTTGCACACCCCGTATCTGCCGGAAGAGGGCAGCCGAGTTGGGTGGATTCACTCGGGGAGCTTCGGGAACCTCCGCTGCAGCGCAAAACGGCCCGCGCGTGTTTGAGGAGCGGCTCGGGAGGAGCCGAGCGAGGGGTGTGGGTGTGATTGTAGTCACTACAACACTCGGCAAAATATGTCGTAATGCCTATAAAAAGTTTAGAACAATGAAACAACCGCAAAACCTGCGGCTGCCTCAAAATGTTAAAATGTTGTCTTGCTAAAGAACGATAAAATAGGTCTAAGAATGTGAAAATTACGTCAAGAAAAGCCACCACATTTAGAGCAAATAATATGGATTTTAAAATAAAGAACTGCGTGGAATCCCATTGCAAGTATACAAAGAAGGAAAAAGAGGAAAATGCAAAAACGTGGACGCATCACACTCCCCTTTCGGAATCGCCTCTCGCTGTGTTTACGTTGGCGATATATTTGTGATACATGGTGCGAGATTACCCGCGCTCGTGTGTGTGCAGCTACGGGCACCCCGCAACTACCTTAACGCATTACAACAAAACGATAAATAATTTCCATCGGAGAGGGGCTGAAAGGGGAGGGAAAGGGTAGCAGGGGTGTTCAAGCAGATAACCGACGTTGTTGCATGGGCGTACGCGAGAGCGGACGAGGACGCGCGCGCACAAGAGAGAGAAAGAGAGAGAGAGAGAGAGACCGGTCTGTAAGAGGGAGGAGGGGGCATGAGGAAGCGGAAGGAATGAGGGGTGAGACTCGGGCGCAACACGCTCCCAGGACGAGACGAAGAGGAAGGCCGATATTGACAGATTTATTACGTCTTGTTCGTTCGATCAATGACCCTTCTCTCTCTCCGTCTCTCTCCGTCTCTCTCCTCTCTGGGTCCGCACCTCATCCCCTAACCCACACACACCGACAGAGTGCAGACGTCGAGTTTTTCGGAAGCGAATAACCTCGGTTTTTCCGCCTTTACGCGCACAGCGTTGCTTTTTGGGAGCAGGCACTCAACATATTCGCCTGGTTCGATTCGAGAATGAGACAGTCGAAAGGAAGACAGCTCTATGACACATCACCAGAAGGCGGAAAGGGGCTCCCCGAAGATCGCGGATAGCGCCCATCGGCTCTCCTAACAGCTCACGCGGGCTCACGCTCATCCAGATACACAGCCATTAATTCACGGGCCTCCCCCTCCCTCCCCCCCCTCCCCTGATTAGGCGAAC